AAATTAACTTCCCTATCAACTTGTAACATATGGCTTGCATTCACACAAACTTTAAATTGTTTGGCTTAATATGTTAATATGTTTCTTATGTGTAATTTGAACACAGGTGTAGTTTAAAGGGGAAATAGCCACAAATTAGATGAAAATAATTTGGTGTTTGTGGATTTTGAATATAATTGTTATAATTACTGTTATATAATTATTATAATCACTATGAGTCTTATCACAATAAAGTGAGTCACTCAGGAAATAAAATCTGGGAGCCAGAGGGTTCTAATAAATAGTTCTATGCTTCACAATATACTAGGAATAAATCCAATTAAGTGTAGGATAATTTTTTTCTTATTTAATTGTGCATAGAATTGCAGACATACTTTCTTGGCAGTAATAGCATGCACATACTGAATCTAGAATTACTTTTAAACTGGGAAACTATTAAACTATCTGAGAAAAGAATGAGTTAGCATTTAAAAGTCTGAGGTATTCTTTCATTCCTTTTCCCCTTTCAGTTAGAATCTGGGTCATAGTCTGATCAAAAGCAAGGTAGAAATAAGTATTTCTAGCTACCTTCTGCTAACCAGTGATTTATTTAGCTAGCTATATAAAGTGGGCCAATCAGGCTTGCTTAAGCCAAAATGCACCCTTTTTGAGATTTCCTAATTGAATATTTTGACTCTGCTGGTATTCAGCCCTTCTGGATAGTGCCAACTGTCTGCCTTTTATTTAACTGTCCATCTTGCAAAAAATCTGAAGATTTCCATCTCCATTCATTTTTGATTAAAGGTCTGTTGAGCCATTAGTCACCCCTGCACTTTGAACCTTTTGTAAAACCTTTGTCTTCTCCAACTGAGATGTATTGAACTAGAATTTCCATCATCCCCAGCTAGCATGGCTGGCAATATGGACATTTTACTGCAACTGGGTGCCATGATGTTAGGAAAAGTCCTTTTCTGCTGTTTCTTCTCTTAAAATTCAGTCTGTTAATTTTGCTGGCCACCATGATCACCTTCATCAATTTTGGTCATTATCATCATGTTTTAAAAATCTGGTGGTTCTGCCTGAGATCCATCTTGGACAAAAGCTTGGGAAACAAGAATACTTTCAGTTAAGGCAAGGAACACTTACTAAGACCAGCATGGAAGGATTCCACAGTACAAGATAGGGGCAGATTTGGAGACCCTTGCTAAAGTGCCAATTATAAGTACTTCTGAAAAAAAGCAAACAATAATTTCAGTAAGGTCAGGTGGTCTCTCTAGGAGAGATTACACCACTTGACTAACATGGCTTGAAGCTAAAGTCTTAGACACTACGTAGAAGTTGATTAAAAGGTTACTATGAGATTTCTGTATCCACAGAAAAGTTGATTATAATCTCCTGCATTTCTCAGGATTCTTTTCCTTCTGCTTCCCTGTTTTTGTTTTTGTTTTGTGTGTGTGTGTGTTGCTGTGAAAGAAGATAACATTCAGCTAAATAGTTTGCAATCTGATTTCTCCCAGGAGACTGGAAGGTTGAATACAAGCTTTCTTTGCCGAAAGTCTCAGATTTAAATCCAGTAAGCCATACTTAGCATGTATTTGCTTTTCAAGAGTTATGTTTTAACTCTATATATTAACCCTTTTTAATTAGTTTGTTGCCTAAATCAAATGAAAAGCTTGTCCTAATGGATGATCATTTAACTATGAGCCAGCAGTGTGCAGCAGCAGCCAAAAAAGCTAATACAATATAAACAGAAGCATAGAATCAAGATCCCACAAAGTATTAGTACCGCTTTATAAAACCCTTGGAAGACCACACCTGGAATACTACAAACAATTTTGATCACCATACTAAAAAAAGATTTTAAAACCTGGGGAAAAGGTCATAGAAGAGCAACTAAAATGATCAAAGGCCTGGAGACTAAAACATATGAACGGCTGCAGGACTTGGGTTTGGCTAGTCTAAAGAAAATAAGAAACAGGGGCGACATGATAGCAGTATTCCAGTATTTGAGGGACTGCCACAAAGAAAAGGGGATCAAACTATTCTCCAAAGCAGCAGAGGGCAGGACAAGAAATAATGGTTGGAAACTGACCAAAGAGAGAAGCAGCCTGGAATTAAGGAGAAACTTCCTAACAGTGAGGACAGTTAAACAGTGGAACAGTTTGCCTTCAGAAATCATGGGTGCTCCATCACTGAAGGTTTTTAAGAAGAGACTAGACAGTCACTTGTCTGAAATGGTAAAGATTCTCCTAGAAGACCTCCAAGGTCCCTTCCAGCTCTATTCTATTCTGTTCTATTCTATTCTAGTCTAGTCTAGTCTAGTCTAGTCTAGTCTGTTCTGTTCTATTCTGTTCTGTTCTGTTCTGTTCTGTTCTATGAGCTTCCATTCATATTCTCAAACTACCCATATTGGCAATTAATCTCATTTTGATATCTATTTTCATTGTGTTTGAGGTCCATACAGTAGACAGGTTGAAGAAGTACAAACAGTTCTTTGTATTCAACATGCAGCTCTATTCTGTGAAGTCCACAGATTTTAAAGTTGCCAAGGTTGAAAAACACTATTTTAAAGCAACCCAAAGTGACTTAGACAGCTTTTGCACCAGGCAACCTATGCCAGGATCTTCAGTCCAGGGAGAAGCAAGGGGTGGAGTAGATTAGTAATGAATGACTCTCTTTCTTACATAGATGCTCACTTAGAAGAAGTCACCTTGTGGTGGATAAGTAACAACCTTGGAATTACATCAAGAAATAAAAGAGAGAGAGAAGAAGAGAGGGGAGAGAGTAGGCATTTCAAGGTCTTTGGCTGCCTTGTCCATTTCTGAAATATGAAAATAAAATACACTTTTTGAGATCTTATTGTTTAGGCTTTCTAAGAGCTGTATTCACACTGATAGGAAGATCTGCCGCATTTGTTCCATCAAATCCATATTTAGCACTTAGCAGCTGCCGCTTGGCTAAGTCTAGCTGTTGAAACAGTGTTCTTGAATGACTAATGGTATAGGCATTGTGTATGTGTGCTTGTATCTGTGTATGTGTATTTGAGGTCTTTTTGTGTTTTATTGAGGTACTAGAGCAGTGTTTTTCAACTTTGACAATTTTAAGATCTGTGGACTTCAACTACCAGAGTTTCTTCTTCAATTCTGGAAGTTGACATCCACAGATCTTAAAGTTGTCAAGGCTGAGAAACACTTATTGTAGAGTCTATTGATTGATCCAAACCCAGATTCCAGAAGTCCTGTTGTCCTTGGAATGTTGCATTTCAAAAGAAACCTTCTAAGAGCCAGGTCTTACAGTTCTTTCTCTCTCTAGGATTTTATCTTCATCTTTCCCACTCTCATTCACTGTGGTGAAGTATGTATCGGTGTGTAAAACTGATGAGATAGGGAAGGCTCCCAACAAAAGGGATCTGATCAAAAGTAGGTAACTATGGTAGAAACTGGGGTATCTGCAAATTATGGTGAAAAAAGTGGTTATTCTATCAGTCCAATAGTGTAACACATAAAAGTTAGTTGGAGTTTCAATTGTATCATTATGATCTTGATTTCTTTTTACCATTCTTTTGCCTCAGTGTAAATAAAAATAATAAACCTCTCAGAAGCACTTTATTTTAGTACATTAAGATTTATCCAAGGTGTAGAGATATGCTGCTTTATAGCAGCATACAGCCCTCAATAGGAAAAGACTGCAGAATAGTAAGGAAAAAGATACAATAGATGCAACATACTTCAAACTGGCTGATAAAGTAATATTTACAGAGTGGAGCTGAGAAACAGGTCAATTCATTAAAAACTGGAATTTGTTCCTAGGTTCTAACTGGTAATGTTATCTGGAGCAAGTTTGATTTTGTGAGTCTTGAGGAAATGGATAATCCAATCAGTGATCTCAGCCATTTGTATATTCGGTTGAGGTCCTTCTTGCATGATTAAAGCCACCTAGGAAGGGTCCTTTGTTGGATCCATACAGTATATTTACTTCTTAGTAAGAGGGATGGTCCTCTCAGTCTTAACTTACACCTAGTTAGTACTACTCTACTCAACCTAACCATCTTGGATAATTTCTGTCCAGTCTCCAACCTCCTCTTTCTAGAGAAGGTATTGGAAGGGTGTTTGGGCTTCCTTGGAGGAAACCAAATATCAATATCATTTTGGGGTTCATTTTGGAGACAGCATTGGTTGGTTGGTTTATTAAATCTGTATGCCACCCACCTCCCTACCAAGTTACTCTGGGCAGTTTACAATACTGCAAATAACAGATTAAAACAACTACAGAATTAAAGCATTAAAAATAAAATAGGAGAATAACAGAGTTGGAAGGGATCCTGAAGGTCTTCTAGTCCAATCCCCTATTCAAGCAGGACATCCTATACCATTTCAGGTTGTCCAGTCTCTTCTCGGGAGCCTTCAGTTGTGGGTGTTGGAGCACTCACAACTTCTGGAAGCAAGTTGTTCCATTGGTTAATTGTTCTCACTGTTAGGAAAATTAAATGTTATCTGATTTTTTGTTTATAAACAGATGCTATGTTAGGAAAACCATCAGGTGTTAAAAGCTAGAACCTTAAAATGGTTGTATTAATTAATGACCTGTGGCAGAGCTGAGATTAAGTGGTGAATTCATCCTGATGTTCCTTGATCTCTCTCCCAGATTCAATATTTTTGATCACAGCAGCCTTTTGGACCAACTTCAGGGGTTGGGAATGGAAGGCCCCATTTTGTGGTAATTATTATTCTCCATTTCCTGAGACCAGTTTTAATTGTGGTTGATAGGTGGAGATGTTGTACCCAGAGTCCAGAAGGCTTAAACTTCTTGTTTAACATCTATAGAAAACCACTGGGTGATGTTATTTATCAGTTTAGGGTCAAAACTCATCAGTTATACTGAGTCTCTTGAACACAACCAACCTGCACAACTGAAGAAGCAATCCATAACATTTAGACATCTCAGTTGTATCATTTCATCAGCCAGTACTTGCAACTCCGAAAGTTCATGTGACCCTAATTATTCCTGTATTTCTACCCCAGGAAGCCTCTTGTGCCTATGTGCTGATCGTCACAGCAATATATTGGGTATCTGAAGCAGTGCCCCTTGGAGCAGCAGCCCTTGTTCCTGCTTTCCTGTATCCACTGTTTGGTGTCATGAAGTCCAGTGAGGTCAGAGTTGTGTATTTTTCCTTCCTTCCTTCCAGTGGTAATGTCAAGTATCCAAGAGTCATACTCGAATCTTGGACTGCCATGTTATTTTCTTAGCAAATGAACTTGCTATGCTTTCTTCTGGGATGTTTTTTTCAACTTCCTAGTTTGGTGTAGATCCCAGAGATCTCTCCCATTTAACTATAAACCAGGTCTGTCCTTGCTTAGCTTTTTGGAACCAGCAACAGTTGGCTAAGTTAATTCACCTAAATAGATACATCATTCATGAATTTATAATTCATGAATTTATAATTCATGAATTTATAATTCATGATTGATGGCCAATGCTGGGCAGTAAAAATACATAACCAGCTTACTACCTGCTGCAATACCGTCATTTCATTTTATTTTTAAACAGGCAATGTTTCTTGTGGTGTCTTTGCTATAAAATGCAGTAAAAATGCTTTAACAGAGCTATATAGGGGCAAGCTCTTTTTATTCTGTTAGGCTTTAGAACCTACAGCTATCTAATTTAATACAGGACTCACTGAGACCTCTATTTTGAAAACTTTGAAGTGGGATTATTTGCATTTCAGACATCATCATATTAAATAGTGTCATGCAGATTTCATTTTTTAAAATCAATCATATCTGCCTATATAGCAAAAAGACGTTCATTGCATAATTAATAACTAGTTCATTTTAACACTACTAAACATGACCATTGAAGAATCTCAAAGCAGTGACATGACCATGTGAGTCCATGGCACATAGTATGTTTTTTTATGTCTATGAATACTTCCAGAGTGGAAAAAGATTCATCTGATAAACATCCTGCAATGGGAGATGAAGGTGAAATTTATGTCTGTCGTACCTTGTTCATTTTCCCAAGTCATTATCTGATGAACTTGCATCATTGACTGTCTTATTCTTGGATGAGAAGTGAATTCTTCTTGGATGAGAAGCAAAATGTTTTCTTCTTCTTCTTCCTCAAGGAAAAGAACAGTCCAGTTGCCTTTTGAAGAAACAAGCACCTTTAAAATGATGGTTTTTATTACCATGACCAAGCTGGATACTATCAAGCAAGGAGAAAGAGAAAATACTGTTGAGAAAGCAGCTTGACAATTGATAGCAGCCTGATAGAATAACATGTCTTTCAAATTCCCTCAACACAGACGTACTTGAATGGCTGCAATAAAAAATAGTTCATCCATTACCAGCAATGGTGTAAGAAATACTACCTTATGACACTTCCAACATTGCTTCTCATATTTCCTGGGATGAAATGCAGGCACTGCTTTAGGGAGTAGGAAAATCATCTAAAGTGATATAGGAACTGTCACATTATAGTACTGTAGATCCTCATGTCACTGCCGGTGAAATATAAATTAGCCCTTAGCCTGCATAAATATTTATCCTTGTACTAACACTTCCCATAACAAATTAGTAACACTAGGATGTCCCTAGTTTAAAGGAACCGAGTTAAGTTACTCTGGCACATTTATTTATGCAATTATTTATAGACTGTCCACTTTAACAAAGGACTCCAAGCAGTTTATAATCAAGGATAGGTTAAAAAAAATGGCAATCTAACTACCGTAACTTCAACTAGCTAACCCTGCGGCCTGCAAAACAAATCTTCAGATCTTTTCCAAGTGCTTTCTAAATCTTCTTAGACACCATACTGTAATTTTTCTTCCTAGTAGGTCAAACCTGCTGAGGCTTCCCTTGAGTCTTTGGCTTTTAAGAATATGAGCCTTTGTTTCAGCCATCCTGCAAAGGCGTGAAAGGGATAAAATGGAATAAGCAAGGTTTTGTATTGTTAAGGGATTTTTTTCGATTCTTAAATTGAATTCTTCCACTTAAAAAAAAAATCTGCATGGATTACTGTGAAGTGTAGGGCAGGAGCTGGGATTTAGGGAAAGGAGAAAGGACTAATGGAAATAAGCAAAAATAAAAACCCCAAGATAATTGCATGGCAGTTTGGAAACATCCATCGGGGGTTACTTAGCAAATAAGGAGATTTGCCTATTTATTTTAAGACTGAAATCTTGCTAGAACCTTCAAGGAGAAACCAAGATAAGATAGAGCATTAAAAAAATGCAAAAATTAGATATCAGATTTAAAAATCACTTCCCTTAAAAGTTTTCAAAACAAAGTAAATATTTCAAAATCTGATATAATGTTAATAAAGCCTACAACAAGATTGGACCTGTGAATAAAGGAAATTTCATAGTGGATGCTTGTACTAGGCATTTTGAAATGAGATGGGTGACAAATAAGTTTAATAGAGATAGATAGATAGATAGATAGATAGATAGATAGATAGATAGATAGATAGATAGATAGACAGATACACAGATACACACAGGCAGACAGACAGATACAAAGATATAGATAGATATATAGATAGATACACAGATAGACAGACAGACAGACAGACAGATGGACAGACAGACATTAAGAAAGATCTATTCCATGCTCTGCACTTCAACAGCCAAATAGTGTTTAATCCAAGTCTTTTTTATTGGAAATCTTTTTTATTGGAGAAGATCAATGGTGTTTTTTAATATGAGAAGACCAAATTACTTGGTGCAATCTCCTTAACATCATTCATCTTCTCCAATAAAAAATACCATGATACAGTTTCAAGAACAAACCTCTGGTACTCACAGACATAGTTAGAAGTGAGGATTAAATGTTGTTTCTCAGGAATGCATCAAAATAGAGAAATTACATAGACCCAATTTCTAGGTGTCTGTAAATAATATGTGCCTCATTTACTCTGTTTATCCACTGACTTCAATTGTCCATAGGTAGCTGCTGAATATGTCAAGAACACCACCTTGCTTCTCATTGGGGTTATCTGTGTGGCAGCTTCTGTTGAAAAGTGGAATTTGCACAAACGGATTGCCTTGCGCATGGTTATGATGGCTGGAGCAAAACCAGGCATGTGAGTGAATCAGCTTGTTTTGGTCTGCGGTTTGCTACAAGAGAATAACCAACTGATAAAGCGTGCAGTAAACATTTGATAAATGCATAATAAAGACATTTTAAAGATACAGGTAATCCTTGACTTACGACCACAACCGAGCCCAAAATTTCCGTTGCTATGCAAGACATTTGTTCTGTGAATTTTGCCTCATTTTATGACCTTTCTTGACACAGTTGTTATGTGGATCATTGCCTTTGTTAGTAACATGGTTGTTAACTGAATCTGGCTTCCCCATTGACTTTGCTTGTCAAAAGGTCACAAAAATTGATCACATGATCCCGGGACACTGCAACTGTCACAGATATGACTCAGTTGCCAAGTATCTGCATTTTGATCACATATCCATGGCGTTGCTAAAATGGTTGTAAGTGTGAAAAACGAGCATGTCACTTTTTTCAGGGCTGTTGTAACTGCTAATGGTCACTAAATGAACTGTTTTGTCCAGAACTATCTGTATAAGCACATTGCATATGTTTAGAAATCATTCTCATCTTTATTTCTGCTCCTGCTTATTTTCTTAATGCCTCTTTCCTGTCTACTCTGATGCTTCTGTTTTACCTTTGCAGAAACTATCAAAGTTCATTGATTCTGTTATAATAATGTATATACGAAAGTTCCTTTTATCTTCAGCAGATTACTTAGACCACAGAAATTGAATCTCCACTCAGGCATCATTTTTAATTGCAAGAAGTAAAAAACATTATTTTTTTTAAAAAAAGAGTTAAATTATAAAGAGGGGGACAATGAGTTTTTAACTGTGCCTCCCAAATGATTCCTCTTTCTTGAACTCTAGGCTGCTTCTTTGCTTTATGTGTTGCACCACTATCTTATCTATGTGGCTTTCCAACACATCCACCACAGCTATGGTGATGCCCATTGTAGAGGCAGTTCTTCAGGAACTTGTGAAGTCTGAGGAAGATCATGAAATGAATGGCACTGCAGGAAGCACCATCCGGGAAGAGAAAGAGACAATAAGTATGTCATCATCCTCATTGCTCTTTTAAATTCTTTTAGAGAGAGATGAGCAAAATTCAAGTTGCTATGGCAAGTCATACCTACATGTGCCCCCTACCTTTGCTAAAAACTCGAAAGGGAATTTTCATAGAATCATAGGATTAGAAGGGAGCTCATAGATCTTCTAGTTCAATCATCTGCTCAAGGCAGGAGACTTACACCAACCCAGTCAAATAGTTGTCCATTGATGAAGTTGGCTTGAATGTGATCTGGACACCTAGCAAGCCAAACTCCAGAATGCACAAAGACCTGGACTTGCATTCCAAACTCAGCTTCTCTTTGGCTTTCCAGCAGAAAACATGAAAACTGGGCAGAGGAAATGTTATAGTCAACATACATGACCAATTTTAATCTCCAGCTGAATACATAAACAGGACTAAACTGGCTGGAAGAGATTGTTTCATTCAGTCCTGGCTCCTCGGGACCCAGATAAGAAGAAGCAAATCAGATAAATGAAGCATATCTGATGAGCAGCTGATTTCAGTTGTTTCACAAATTAGTAACAGATTGGAAGAAAGCAAATCAATGCTCCACAATTACAAAGATCTTTCATGATCCTCCTTAATTATCATGGAAGACAAGGTTATTAATAGCTTGTCAGGAGCTTTAATCAACTTGTGGAGATCAGTCAACACATTTGGAATTTTGGAAGCACATTATAGGCCCTCTCTAAAAGGGGTTTTCAACCATCATTTTATTTTTTGAGAAGATCTCTGAGGTCCATGTGGTGTCCAGAAGCTTTGCCGGATAATCAAGCAATGCTTGAGACCAACCCTAATCCTCCCTCCTTTTTTTGTCTCTTTTATTTTAGGTCTCCGTGACAAACATGGTCAAGGCTCCCTGGAGCTCATTTTCATCAACGAGGAGTAAGAATGAAGCCTGTCCAGCTCTAATGGACATTTGAACCCTTTCAGGTCACAATGAGATAACATACCAGGAGCAGAAAATGAGATATTATATCAAGAGAGATTTAGAGGTTTGAGAGGTTTAAGAGAGGAAAGAATGACATGTATTGTTTTGATTTTTATCTAAGTAAATAAGTAAGTAAGTAAAGAAGGAAGGAAGGAAGGAAGGAAGGAAGGAAGGAAGGAAGGAAGGAAGGAAGGAAGGAAGGAAGGAAGGAAGGAAGGGATTTTCTCCATGAGGATAAAAGCCAAGCATATTTTTGCTACATTGCACGTTCTTGGTTTTTACTTAATTTTCACTAGAATGATCACCAATGAGAAAGAGAATCAACTAACTTCCCACCCAAGAGACCTGACCTGTCTCTTCCTTCACTGTCCCTGGCATGCTTCCACCATACTGAATTCCTTCTGCATAGCTCAGAACTAGAACTGGAACCAGAACTAGAATAAGCAGAATTGCATTGGGATGCAAATCTCCAATGACCTCTCTCTAAGATGAAACAAAAGCTGAGATGGATTTTTAAAAACTGCATTTGCAAAGAGATTTCTTTATTACAGTGTTCTCTTCCAGCACTGCAATGGCATGGAAGCTAATGGCAGTTTATTGGACAGATGCACATGGCACAGCTGTTCTCCAAGCCAGTCTTCCATTTTCTGTGTGCTGGAGAAAACAAGGCCGAGAAGAAGCTGAAATAAAACTGCTCTGTTCTCATCTTTTGTTCTCCCAGGCAGGCGTACTAAACACTTGTTTGACCTTCTTATATCACTTGCATGAATCTGAGCATCAGCCTATCATTTGTTGCAGGAATGCTGGGATAACAAAACTGGATACAGAGCATCATGATTTCCTGGGAGCATCTGCTATGGCACACGTGTGATTCATTATTAATGTTTATCCTTTTTTTATTTCCCCTTGTTATCTATAGTGCTACAACTGCCAATTTCAGCTCTCTGATGCAGTCCAAGGTATTTTTAGAGCATGCATTTGTGCTTCAATAACTCTCTACATCTTTCACAAGGACTATCTTAAAATAGTAAAATAATGATGGAACAATTCTCTCCTTTTTTGTGCAAAACTAAGCCACATTTTATTGTTTAGTGGGTGGAAATGAAAACCCAATCTCGTAGAACGGAACTATGGCAGATATAAAAACTGTTGAGGAGACAATGCTGGGCTTCAGAGTTCAGTAACCATGATCTAGATCACAGATCTTTATATCCTGACAGAAGCCCAGATGCAAACCCAATCAGTCCCTGCTCAGTGGTCTGTGGTCTTCATAACAGGCCATAGAACCCATGAAGATGCCAGCACAATTGCCAGATCAGGAAATATACTCTTGACACAACAATAACTAAACCCTGAACCCCAATACTGTCCAACTGTCCAACAGTTACTGGCCATGAAAGTCTACACCGGTATAATCTGTTGAAAACTTTTTGATTTGCAGTCCTATGGTTAAAGGGTTAGATTGAACAAGGTTAGATTCAGAAACCTAAAGGGCCCTTTCTGTATTCTATATTAATATAAGCTTAAACTGCATTATTAAAATTAGTAGCCATATCTACTATGCTGATCTGGTTTCATTTAGGATTCTATCCAGTTCTAGGACACTGGACTTAATATTCTCTAAGTTATTCAGTTATTCAGGCATGAAGACAGCTTGATAATATTGGATTTGTATTTCAAAGCAATTTGGTTGTTAGAATCTTTTTTCCTTGAGTCAGCTATGAGTATTGTTGTTTGGGATGATACCAAATCCTCCTCCCCATCCTTGAAGTTTTATACATGGGTGGTTATCATTATTCTGACTGAGTCTTTCAAAAGGATATTGAATATAATATGTAATCGATTATTCTTTCTATGGGTACCAACTGTTCTTTGGCTATTGGGTTGATGGACAGAAATCTCTAGCTACAAATCTATTTAAAGTCATCCAAAATCCTCTGATTCTCTGAGAGCAGATGAAAGCAAATCTTTGTTAAGCAATGCTAATAAATAGGATAGAGTTGGAGGAGGATCCATGGGACAATCTATGTTTGAGTGGGTGGCTAGAAGATGAGACTGGTCAAAAAAAAAGCTGGATGACTAGATCAGCTCCATGTTGCCTGGGAGAGCCCTACACATTTGCTAATATCTGAATCAAGCGATTACAATGTGTTGGAATACATGTTAGAATGCATTTTGTATTGCCTCAACTACAAAATTATTCAGCCAGTAGATTATAATGGTTATAATCTATGGTTCCTTTTATTCTGAGGAAAGTTTCCTGTGACAGAAGCAAAGCTCATGGTGACTGCATACAGTACATTTTATTTGATCTGTATGGCTATGTAACCATCCTCTGCTACCAATCTGTATGACTATATAATAATCCTCTGCTACCATTTTTATAGAAAAAAAATCCAGAATTTTCTAACACAATGCCATGAAATAGGCAGTTCGCCAACATTATGAGGGAACTCCAGGTTTATAGACAAAAGTTCCAGGACCATATATTCAGTACAAAGTACAAACCTATTACAACTGATAGTGTTCACGCCATTCACATATTTGTTTCAGGGCACAGGAGCACTATCCAGAAACTGGGCAGGAGGCTCTAAGACTAGTTGAGAGCTATGCAGCAGAGGTCTGCCAGATGAGTGGCACTTGATGAAACTCTGTTAGTGTTACACTTAAGTCTGCCATGGTTCCATTTTTGGCTTTGGGTTTGGGGTTTATATTCTCCTTAAAGGAGCAGGTTCTCACTTTGCAGGATCTTTCTAGACTCATTGCTTTTGCTAGAACAACAGATAGAATAGAAGCTGTGGTTAACTTTGGCTGGTATAACAATAACAAGCCTACAGTAGTGATTCATGTCCCCATCACATCACATCTCGACAACTGCAGTTCATTCTACATGGGGCTGTCTTTGAAGGTCACCTTGAAGTTTCAGTTGTCTAGATTAGTCATCTGCTAATCAGTGACAGTATATTTAATACCAATATATGGTCACTGCACTGGCTGCCAATTTCAGTTCATGTGGCTTGACTCCTAGATATTTATACAACCACCTGCCCCAACAAACAAGACCTGGCTTAATCTGAGTTAATAAGAAATTTCTTCTTCTTTGGAAAACATTTTTGGAATCAAAATCCTTCTTACTAAAATGAGAATTGATAGGAAAAATGCATTCCCCTCCACCCCATGGATACTATTCATGCAATCTCTGTTCTTCTAAATATTCATTACTCAGAAGAAACAAAAGGAAACGGTCATGCTGCGTATGTTGATTTTTCAGGAAAACACTTTCTTTAAAACTTCCTCTTAGTAGGTTAGGCAGTTGTTTTAACCAAATTGCCAAACAATTTAACTTGTGGAAAAATTCCTAGAAGAACTTATTTGGGGTGGGGGTATGATGATTGAAAATGATGAAAAGTGATATTTTCTAATAAAATATTTCTGGTCCCTCAGAACATGAATGGGGTACACATGATAGCCAATACAATTGGAACAATGAATTCCAGAACAAATGGGCAACATCTACCCCAGGTGAGATCATTATTTTGTGTAGATGCAAACTATAAGTCCAAGTTCAATATGAATTAGTTTCTGAACTTAACTAGTCACATCATAGCTTATTTTTGGGATAGTGTGACTCTAGCTAGCTAAAAAATGAATTAAACTTAGCCTGCTCCAGGAAAAGGATTAGATTCAAACATGCTGCAATTTCATGGTTAACCACAATAATTTCCTACGCTGTAGTAAGACAACCATCTCCAGCTGTTAATTCTTATAGAAAACTAGATTGGTTGTTTCAGGGCAGTTGACTACTGTGCTGTGCAATGACTAGGCAGTGCAGCTCTAGATCAACTGCGTTATAAGTAGAAAATGGAGCAAGGAACTCAGTGGCTTGAAGAACAAATCAACTGACTGAAGATAAACATGTTTTTAAAGTTTCTAATCAGAGCATATTCAACAAGCTGTTAGCCAGTTTGCAAGGCCAGAACAAGATGTAGTTTCAGCTTTCAACTTTGTATTTAAAGATTTTCTTCATAAACGGGAAAAAGCAATCCTTTCCTTTCATAGAACAATGGCAACCCTATTTATCTATTCATCTCTTCTGTCTCTCTGTTAAATATATTGCTTGTCTCTCTGTTAAATGTCTAATAAATAACACAAAAAATACAAAAAAAGAAACAGCATTCATTGAGTTTTTAAAAATAAGCTTGAACAACAAAATAGCAGTTCGAGCAGGATACATTGGAGTAGTAAATACAAATGAAAACAAAAGTTTATATAGAATATTCAATTTCCTGCTCATGGGTAGAATCTTATGTCTGTATGCTTGTGGCCTTCCAGATGTTGATGAACTACAATACCCAGCAACTCTCTTATCTGATCCTTATCTGATGGGCTCTTGGGATTTATCATTTACAAATACTTAGTGGGCTACAAATTCCATATATCTTTTTGAAGAAATGTTCAGGTGGATTCCAATAAGAGAATGAATTTATAGATGCTAAGGTTTCTTCGGTGGAGGGGCTGGAAAGCAAGGCAAGGAAACTTTGGAGAAGGAGTGAGGGCTGGTGGGTACCTTAACTCACTTAAGCCAGGCCAGCTTTGGAAAACAGACTGGAAGGTGCAGGCTTGTGGTGAGTTATCCCCACAGCTGGGGCAATGTGATGGGGGTGAGGTGGTAAGTGAGGTGGTAGCAGTGAGGTGGTGGTGGAGAGATGGTGGCAGTGAGTTGTCCCATTCTGAAGTCAAGACCTATCTAATCCAGTATTCTAAATTACATGGCAGTCAATCAGATGTATATTATTTGTCCAGTACTACATTTATGATTCAGTTTTCCTCTGAGAGCACAGTATGAGCACCTGAAGTTTTCCTTCAATTTAGCCTCACAATAACCAATCTGTGAAGTAGGTTGGGCATGGTGTTTGTTCATAGTGTCACCTCTGGATTGCACAATTCAGGAATAATCTGAACCAGGGTCTTTCCAGTCCAACAGTGTCTTTTCTAAGTACAAAAAGACTGCACATCAGTCTCCTACTCTTGTTTTTTCCTGGCAATTAGTAAATAATCTTGTAAACAATCTATTTTTATTGATGAATATTATTGCATTTGTGTGATTTCAGTTTGAAATTATTTTTGATAATTTGTCCCATCTTGGCACTCAGCAATTTTTTTGGGGCTTCAGCTATCAGAATTCTGAGACAACAAGGGCAACATTTCCATGCTGATCAGGAATTCTGAGAATTGCAATCTCAACATTTCTTCATAACCCTAGGTTGGACAATGAAGAATGAAGATTAGTTTCTATGTTTTTTTAAAGCCAACATATGAACAAACATACATGATGTGGCTTTTTTCCAGACTCAAATCCTCGTTCTGCCACCTCAGCCTCAAAATTTGGACCAAGATAGCAAACAGCAATATCCATCCAAGCATGATCATATGGTTTGCAAATGCCTCTCACTGAGCATTTCCTATGCAGCAACTATTGGTGGACTCACAACCATCATCGGTACTTCCACCAATCTCATCTTCCTAGAATATTTCAATAAGTAAGTATTAATATACTCTGAGTGAAACTGATGGGAAACCATATGTGTTTTCCTGACCCCAGGCATATTTTTTTCTTATCCATTAGTTTCACAAGATATTTACTATAAATTAAGGAAACAAACAGGCATGATGTTCTTTCCACAGTGGCTAAAGAAATTTTCATCACATCGTGATCTGGGAATTATATCCTAAGAAGGAGAATTTGAGGAAATGGGGATGTTTAGTCTCTAGAAAAGAAAATTGAAGGGGATAGATTTACACTTGAAAGAGTGCTGCATAGAAAAGGGCTAAGATTTTTTTCCTTGGTGGGTATTGTCTTAAAGTACAGAAGACAAAACAATAGCTATAAGTTATAAAATGGCAGATTCCATCTGAATGGTAGGGAACACATCCTAAAGATAACAGTCTGGCAGTGGAACTAATGATAAGAAAATAGACAAGCTCTATGTTGCTGGATATGTTCTAAGTGAGATTAGACAGTTGTTGTTTGCCAATGATTTAATCTGGAATCTTGCATCAAGCAAAAAGTTGGATTTTATACAATCGCTTCCCATTCTTTTCTGCAAATGGTGAGAAAGTATCAAATGAAGCTCATCTACATGGAAAAGCTCACATCTAGGACCATGAGTTTGATGGAAGATAAGAAAGTACTTGAGGAGCCAAGAAACCTGTGAAGATTTGTTTTCTCTTCCTTGTCTGTTTTATATTCTTTCCTACATTGATACAGTTCTAGGTAGAGCTGTCATGAGTGTAGCATGTAAAATCGAGATATATGCATTACTGTTCATAAACTATGGTCACGTCAGAGCTGTGAGCAATCATATTCTCACAAAGGCCCAAAGCTGTATAAGCCTTTGATTAGACAATTCACAGTGGCATAGAATGGACATACCTGACAAATGGGTTCTGCATTCAATCTTTTTCTTTTTTGTCTTTTTCCCCCCTGTTTGATCTTCTTTCCTTGGTCTGATAAAACAAGTTTAAAACAGTATAATTGAATCACTGTAAAAATCGTAAGTTCTTCCACACTAAGGTAGAGTAAGAGTTGTCATGAATTGGGAATGCTTGTGGAAGCTTAAATAAATTGATTATGAATATATGTCTTTTAATTTCTTCCCAGCCATTACCCAAATTCTGATGTGGTGAATTTTGGAACCTGGTTCTTGTTCAGTTTGCCTATCTCTCTCATTATGCTGGTGTTAACCTGGTTCTGGATGCATTGGCTTTTCCTTGGTTGCAAGTAAGTGAAACTGTGATGGAATGTAGTAGCTAGATTCCCAGGCTGGGGGTGGGGGCATTCCAGAGGAATTAGAGACAACTCAGTCCAGATATTATGTGTAGGAGAAAGAGACTGAAACAGCCCCTCCCTAATAGTTCCCAGAGTATATGGGAGATGCAGATAATAGTGCTCAGTCTGGTAAGATTCTGTCTATAGGTATGGAAACAATAAAGAATTTGACTTGGAAGAATTACCATCTGTTATTCTTAGTTTTTGAGTTCGACAGAAACCTGCCCTATCTACCAACATTCCCAATCTATAGTAAGAGTGCTACAACATGCTGGTATTACACCAACAATATCCCAGTGTCCACTATGGAACATCAAAACTATGAAATGGAGGCCAAGGACTAGCATCAGCAAGTATCAGATAAAATATTCATAATTACAGTTAAAAGAATTGGGCTGCAACATCCAGATAAGCAATAGATGAGGGCACAGAATATGGAAACAATTTAATGTTGGGATTTTTGTAGCCCAACTCTGGTAACCTGAATGATTCTTGTATTCTTCAGTTTCTAATAGCAGGTTTTGTTTTCAACTGTTTTAGATTTTGTATCATTTGTTTTAGTTAAATCTTTTAAAAAGGAGCCTGTTTTGCAATCCTGAGGATTATTATAAAGAAAGAAATTGTTTCCACGCTAGTACACAAATAGCTGGAAGCTGGCAATGACCTCAAGTTGTCACTGGCCTTATCTGGAAGGGCTCCAATTAATCTCTCGAGACATTTTGTTTCCTAATAAAAATAAGATATAATAAATCAGAAATAATGTATACTCTTGCAACAAGTCTGAACATGATTTTTGCACAATGAACAGTTACATTCTGTTGGCACTGCCAACTTCAAATGTTTTTTATTACAAAATGTACATTTTGTGGCTTATTAATTTGTAATTCTATTTACTACAATATATTCAAGAATGTATTATATTGAAAACTTGACATAGCCATAAGCCAAAAGTTGGAGTTATAAAGAAGCCCAAAGCTAGGCTGTCTGTTACAAGTAATGGGAAAAATATGGCAGTAGGAAGTCGGAAGCTGAAAGAAAGGGGATAAGATGGCCCACCAAACAGAAGTCAAGCAAAAAGCCAATTCTTATCAAAGGAGAGTGTCCCAAGTCAGTAGGATTTCCTTTCCCATGCTTCCGATCTTATTCAGTTTACCTATCTCTCTCATTATGTTGGTGTTAACCTGGTTCTGGATGCATTGGCTTTTCCATGGTTGCAAGTAAGTGAAACTGTGATGGAATGTAGTAGTAGTAGTAGTAGTTTTCAGAATTGGATCACAAGAGCCGTAAGTGCCATTGCCATATCTTCTGGTATGATATAAAATGTACCTCAAAGCAAAAAAGAATTGGAAAGCAAAGTAAAAATTTGAAACAACTTTGGTTAAATCAAAATGTTTAATGTTGCATCAAAAAAGGGATCTCACTGATCAGATGCAAGTTCAAACTGAGATGCAAATCGCAGTTGTTTGGTTTTGACCTTCACACTTTGGTTAAACTGAGATAGACCTAAGATATATATATATATTGTTTACTTGCACTGATGTGGTAAATAATGTGGGTCAGATGCTGGCTTATATACTCCTGTGATCTGATTCACAAAAATTCTTCTTCAATTGCTGTGCTTAGAAACACCAATTCCAAAATGAACGATGGTGTTAATCCATTTCATTTCAGGGAAAAATCCACAAAGGATTTTAAATACTTTATGAACAAGATCTGCACAGAAGGACCTCCTTCTGTTCCTTTTTATGAGTGCTGAGGAACAAACTCATTTGGGAAACTGAGTACTTTTTTCTGACATTAATTCAGTTCTCCCCAGGGTGCAGATGTCAGGACTAATATAAATTTGCTGCAAATCTTTCTGCAGTTCCATACTCTAACTACTGTGTTCTGTTTTCCCATCTCTTGTTTATTTTCAGTTTCAAAGAAACCTGTTCAATAAGCAAGAAAAAGAAGACCAAGAGGGAAGAAATGTCTGAGAAGAGAATCCAAGAAGAATACGAGAAGCTGGGAAATATTAGGTAAGGAATAGGGTACCTGTTTTGCTTATTGTATACACATAATCAATCTGCCATTTTCCAGACGTATTAGAACTCCTATGATTTTCACATATGATAGCTGGCTGAAAGTTCCAACTGTTACTGTTTCAGTACATTTGGAAGTGCCAGATTGAGAAAGACCACTCAATTATATATTAGTGGACCAAGATCCAAGAAACAGCATGGATGAAGTCAACCTGGAGGAGCTGCCTTCTACATTCTGAGTAGAACTAATCAACAAAGTATTGGGCTGTGGGATTCTGTTTTAAATGCTTCTTTTAAAGTATACATAAATATTTCTTTTCTAGCTATCCTGAAATGATGACTGCATTCTTCTTCATCTTGATGGCTTTGCTCTGGTTTACAAGAGAGCCTGGGTTTGTTCCAGGTTGGTCTTCCTTCTTTGAACAGTAAGTATCTACTTAGAAGCACAGTGTCAGGCTTCCTGATAAGGGCTCAACTGTAAATCAGAGATCTCATCTCATATGATGGCTTAGTTTGACTGTTAGCTAGACTTAGCAGAAGATTCTTGGCTATATTGGAATCTTAACAGCAGACCAGCATCTGACTATCCTTGCCATTATGGAGTTTTTGTTTTCAAAATTTAATCAGTTTACTATCTTATAACTGCAGTCCAATATTTTTGGTCCTTCACTGCCAGACAGTGAGGTATACAATGTTATGCAAAGCACAAACAATGAATATGAAGGGGTGTGTTTGGGGAGGGGACAGTGCCTTTTAATCAATCTTGACTCCTGGTGACTGCCTACAATTCTCTGCTGGCAAATTTTTGCAGTATTTTTTTTTTTTTTTTGCAATTGCTCCTTCTTAGGGGTGAGAGGAAGTGGATTTAACCATGACATCAAATTGGCTCTCTATAAATATGAAGTAGTAAGCCAAAAATTAAATATGTAAAATGGGGCAACATTCATTTAACAACTGCCTCATTTACCAATAAACATTTGGGGCTCAATCGTGATGGTAAGTCAAAGACTATCTTTACTGTTATAAACATTAGATCTTCTTGTTCATTTCTCCATCTTTTGAATGAGAAAATCAACAGCAGCACAAGTTAGGATTTTCCTGGAAGAATCATACTAAGCTGAATGTATCTTCCACCAGATTTGGGGCGGTAATTAAGTTACCATCTCTACTACTTCTGGAAACCATCATCCACACTTTCTCATTGGTTGTGGAGGCAATAATACAGAGCAATATCAGTATTCCTACACTTATTTTATCTATTTTTTTTGTTCTTTAAATCATTTCTATACCATGCAAGATAAAATCGCATGATTCAGTAAGTATTATAGAAAGTTCTTGCAAATCTTTGCCCACAGTCCTAAGACATAGTTGTGATACAATGAGGATCCAGGCATTATATCCCAGAATTATGTGAAAAACAGGATGCCATGGCTTATTTAACAAACCATGATTCGTAAAAGAAATTGCATGTGTATGGAGCCAGTGAGGGAAAAGAGGAGCTGCATCAGAAAATGAATCTATCTGCTGATTAAAGCCAGTGTCTGTTGTAAAACTGTTTCATGGTTTTCCTAGGAAAGGCTATCGGACAGATGCCACTGTCTCTGTTTTCCTCGGTTTCCTTCTCTTTTTGATTCCAGCAAAGAAGCCATGCTTCGGGAAAAAAGGGAAAGGTATGAAAGCTTATATATGGAGCAACATTTGTTTTATTTCAGTTGGGGTCAGTATCCAAAACAGAATTCACATATTCACATCACAATTGTTGGTCACAATTATACTTTACTTCTCAGATTGTCTCCTTGGAGTGGATGTTTAGCTGGACATGAGACCAAATTACAATTTGCCCAAGGCCAGGAATTATGACAGTTAGAACAATTAACCAGTGGAACAACCTGCCTCCAGAAACAGTGAATGCTCCAACACTGGAAGTTTTTAAGAAGAGACTGGACAGTCATTTGTCTGAAATGGTATAGGGTTATCTGCCTGAGGAGGGGGTTGGACTGGATGACCTCAAAGGTCCTTTCCAACTTGATGATGATGATGATGATAATGATAGATATTCTGACTGATCTTAGTTTGTGAATGCCAAGGGCAAAAAGCAGGACAGAGAAACTGCAGCTTTCAGATAGCTATTTTAATTCTGTCTTAACTTTATTTTGTTTATCATACCTACTAATCTACGCCTGCAAATACATTGAATTGAATTGCCAGATCTAAATATTAGCACTCAGCACCCCAAACATCATGGCCTTCTCTGATAGAAATCTCTTCTTTTTTCCTATCTAGATTTTCTTAACCTGATACTTTCCAGTTACATTGGTCTTATTCCTCAATCTCATATCTCCGATAGGCACCAGATTTTACCTCAGACATTGCCGCTTTCCAGATTCTGCTGAGAAAGTATTTCTTTGTAGACATTTTTAGACTGTGCAGTTCCTATCTGCAAAAGAATCTAGAAACAAAGCAAGTGTATTTTGTTTTGTCATAGGTCATGTTAATAAGTCTACAGATGTTAACTCAGGAGAGTCCATAATCACCTGGAAGGACTTTGAGAAAACAATGCCATGGGAGATAGTAGTTCTGGTTGGAGGAGGTTATGCTTTAGCAGCTGGATGTAAGGTAAGACAATTAACCTCAGGATATTCACTCATGGTAATATTCTATGTCAACATTGGCAGCTTGAAGATGTATGGACTTCAACTCCCAGAATTCCCCAGCCAGCTATGCTGGGAGCTGACATCCACAAATCTTCAAACTGCCAAGGTTGAGAAACCCTGCTCTATGTAATGAAATGCTACATTGTCAAAGGTACTTTTTCAGGAGGCAACTGGACTTTCTTGTTTTTCTTTGAAGAGGTTTCACTTCTCATCCAAGAAGCTTCTTCAGCTCTGACTGGATGGTGGGGAATGGAAGGATTTATATTCCTTGCAGACAGCTAGTCATTTGCATTCTTTTGGAGAGTCTTTGAGGCCATTTGGAGGTTTATCTGTGTCCTCAGAGTCACCAGAGTAGTGCAAATGTGTGTGGACCCTTCTTGGCTACAGGATGTTTTCTGCCCTGTGTCCCTTTACTGTTGAAGACAGGCACAGGCTGTTGGGGATGAGTTTATGTTGTCTGCATTTCAACCTGAAGCGCAAATGGTTCCTGAAGCCTGCAATGTTTTCTGGAAATCCGTTCATACTCTTGCACCATTCAAAGACGAAATGCTCCATAGACGAAATGCTACCTTTCCTACAAAACTAAAATGCTGATAGTGGGAGAGACTTTTTCCCCTCAATAGCTTCATCCCTTGATGCACAGTGAAAGCAAGGGGTGAAAACCCAATCCAAAAGAGGGTGGGTCCACCCCACTTCTCCTTGCCAATTCAATTTTCCCCTTCCATATTCTTTGCCCAGTGACTACCAAAGAATGGAATCCATCCAGGAATCAGAAATAATCACATGCAAAAAGCTTTTGAAATGAGACAGGAGACTACAAGCACCCATATATGCGAATTTTTATCACTCGGCTATTTTTCCTTTTACTTGCTAACTTTCTTTTTTTATATCCTTGTTTCCCAAATGTCAGAATATTCCAAATATTCAAAAATAGACTCACAATTTCCTCTGAAGCTGATTCTTTTAAAGTTTGCAGTTTAATGACAACTGGGGCCTACTAGTACAGGTAGTCTTCAACTTACAACCATTCATTTAGTGACCATTCAAAGCTACAACAACACTGAAAAAAGTGACTTATGACCAGCATCCCCATGGTCACATAATCAAAATTCAGATGCTTGGCACCTGGTTCATATTTATGATGGTTGCAATGTCCTGGCATCATGTGATCACCTTTTGCGAACTTCTGATAAACAAAGTCAATGGGAAAGCTAGATATCCTTAACAACCATGTAACTAACTTAACAACTTATATTATTATATAAGTTATTATGTTATTTTTCCTCTTGTTATTTTAGTCTTTTATAGGGTGTTTTTATAAGTCGCCATGTGCAAGCAGGCAGCAATACAAATCTTCTAAATAAATAAATAAACTTAAGTGCAGTGATTCACTTAATGACTGTGGCAAGAAAGGTTTTAATATGGAGCAAAACAACTGTCTTGCTTAGCAACACAAATTTTGGGGTTAATTATGGTCGTAAGTTGAGATCTACCTGTAATGGAAAGTGTTGGAAACTGGGGGAATTAAAATAACTGAATTATTAACATTTATCCTTACCGCTAATTAATCTGCCTGCCAGATCTCCATTCTCCACTGAGAAACATACTTTTGAGAAATATGCAATAGAGACAGAATTCATCTCTTTTACTTGAAAGGATGCTTCTGATCCTAAAGTGCCAGGGAGCATTGGGTTGTAGTTTGTTCTTTGACTTGTGATGAGTTTGGACTGATGAGTTTCGATTTAAATTATTTAAAAGAAGCAGACCAAACAAAAGAGGAGGTGAAGTTGCTCTCTATATAAGGAATAACTAGAGCATCACAATGATGAAAACTCTCTTGAATGCATTTGAGTCAATATAAAAGGGGGGGGGAAATGACATTGCCATAGGTGTATACTCTAGGCCACCCAACCAAACAGAGGAAATAGATGAACTTTTTGCTAGTCAGCTAACTCAGGTATGTAGGAAGCACATCACAATAGTAATGGGGGATTTTAATTACCTTGATATCAATTGGGAGACAAACTCTGCACCAAGTGGAAGATCAAACAGATTCCTAACAAACCTAGCAGACAACTTTGTCTCTCAAAAAGTAGAGAAGGGAACTAGGGGATTAGCCATATTGGATCTAATCCTTACTAACAGAGATAACATGATAGAAGGTGTTGAAGCCACAGGAACTTTGGGAGGAAGTGATCATGCAATATTGGAATTCAACATTCTGGAAGCACAAGCAATAGAACACAGTCAAACAAGAGTCTTGGACTTTAAGAGAGCTAATTTCAATAAACTTAGAGAGAGATTAGAAAGTATTCTATGGATGAGAATCCGCAAGGGGAAAACAACTCAAGAAGCTTGGGAAATTTTGAAAAATGAGATAATAAAAGCCCAGTCTAGCACAATACCAAGAAAGAAGAAAAATAACAGCTCTCAAAAGAAACCAGCATGGCTGCATAAAGAACTCTCTGATAAATTGAAAGATAAAAAGGACAAGTATAAAAAGTGGAAAGAGGGGCACATAACTAAGGCAGAATGTCAGCAAATAGCCCATGCCTGCAAAGATGAAATGAGGAAAGCTAGGCTCAAAATGATCTAAGGCTTGCAACCAAAGTCAAAAATAACAAAAAAAAAAACTTCTTTCAACATGTAAAAAACAAGGAAAAGGTTAAGGAAATGATTGGTCCATTAGTGGGGGAAAGTGGCAAGAAGGTGACAAGCAACAGAGAAAACAGAACTATTTAACTCGTTTTTTGCATCCGTCTTTACACAAAGGGAAAAAACAGTCTAACCTATCAAAAACAGTATCATAAAAAACAGATTAGAAACACAAGTTAAGATAGGCAAGGAAATGGTAAGTGAGCACCTGTCCAGCCTGGATGAGTTCAAATCACTAGGACCAGATGGATTACACCCCAACGTTTTCAAGGAACTGGCAGATGTGATCTCTGAACTAGATCCTGGAGCACTGGGAAACTATCAGAGGACTGGAAAGAAGCTGATGTATTTCCCATCTTCAAAAAAGGAAAAAAAAATAGATCCAGGAAACTACAGACCTATCAGCCTGACCTCAATACCTGGGAAGATTCTGGAAAAGATAATCAAACAACAAATCAGCGAACACCTAGAGGCAAAGTCATTACTAAAAGCCAACATGGGTTTGTCAAAAACAGATCATGTCAGACAAATTGTATTGCATTCTTTGACCAAGTGACAAAATTAGTGGACCAGAGGAATGCTGTGGATATAATTTACTTGGACTTCAGTAAGGCATTTGATAAAGTAGATCACAACCTACTACTTGATAAGATAGAAAAATGTGGGTTAGACAGCATCACCACCAGATGGATTCGTAGCTGGCTGACCGGCCGTACTCAGTATATGGTCCTCAATGGAACTGCATCTACATGGAGGGAAGTGTATAGTGGGGTGCCCCAGGGCTAGGCCCTGTGCTCTTCAACATCTTCATCAACAATTTGGACGAGGGGATAGATGGAGAACTCATCAAATTTGCAGACGACACCAAGCTGGCAGGAATAGCCAACACTCCAGAAGAAAGGTTTAAGATACAGGAGGATTTGGACAGACTTGAACACTGGGCGCTATCTAATAAAATGAAATTCAATGGTGAAAAAAGTAAAGTTCTACATTTAGGCAAGAAAAACCAATGTATAGGTATAGTATAGGGGGTACCTTGCTCAATAGTAACTGTGAGAGGGATCTCGGAGTCCTAGTGGACAATCATTTAAATATGAGCCAGCAGTTGCAGCCGCCAAAAAAGCCAACACAGTGCTAGGCTGCATTAACAGAGGGATAGAATCAAGATCACGTGAAGTATTAATACCACTTTACAATGCCTTGGTAAGGCCACACTTAATGGGGCTTAATGATTGGAATAGCTACTGTAAGAACTAGAATCTACTTGGTTTTTTTTCTGCCTATCTTTTCTTTGTCCCCCAGACCTCTGGACTTTCAACATGGATTGGGAGGCAAATGTTGTCCCTGAGTAGCCTTCCATCCTGGGCAGTCAGTCTGCTAGCCTGCCTCCTGGTGTCCATAGTAACGGAGTTTGTTAGCAATCCTGCAACCATAACAATCTTCCTCCCAATTCTGTGTGGCATGGTGAGTACAGATTAGGATTTGTTAAAAACAAGGTTAGGCATTTCTTTAAGATAATGGGCACATTTAGAGCTGGAAAGAGCACTTTTCATTTTTACATGGACTAGTCAAAAGATACACAGACATCAGAAAATAAACAGACAAGGTTGTTCCTATTATTAGTCCTACCTTCCCAGAATAATTTATAGTGCCAAGCTTACTTTGGTTACCAATAGAGGAGAATATTTGTAGCTCAGAGTTGAAATGAGGGGTCCTTGGTGCTCTCTGAGCTTAGTTGTTACTTATTTATTTATTTAAGATAATTTATATAGCCACCTACTCACTCAGAGTGACTCTACATGGCTTACAGATAACAAAAACACAATATAGAAAAAATAAAAATAATAACAAAAATAATAAAATAATAACCTCCCCATCCCACCCCTTGGCAACAACACACACTCAAATCAATCATTTAATGGGCCCCATCTCACTCTGGATTTCCCAGGCAAAACCATGTTTTCAGGGCCTTATGAAGGAGTGGGGGCCAGTCTAATTTCTGGAGGAATAATGTTCCAGAGTGAGGGAGCCACTACAGAGAAGGCCCTTGATATTTATGTACAATTCAGAAGAGACAATCAAACTCAAAAGGAAACAAAAAGATCCAAACATCTCCTTACAGCAATCAATATCCAGATGAGCGTAGATGAACTCCAAGATTAACATCAGGCCAACAATCAAGAAGTAAGCAATACTGCAATCAAGGAACTGCCAAACAAGCTAACCATAAACAAGCTAATCGTAAACAGTCTAACCAAAGAACCATTAAGACCACTCCCACCAACACTGACAAAGCAATCCACTAGAATATAAAATGAGAGCAAAACCCACTCCCTACTAGCATTGATGATGTTATCTAGTTTGGGTAGTGAAATGTCTGCAAGAAAACAGCCAAGTTTAGAGAGCATCAAGGACCCCTCATTACTTTGGCCAGTATTTTTGAGGCAGTAAGGACATATCCAAACAAAGCAGAGACTCTCACCCTTTTCATTTTTGGAAGAATGTGATGGAATCTCTGCAAGAACCAAAAGCATTATTGTTGATGTACTTGATGCTAAAAGGCAATAAGCCACTTTCTCATTTCATGCTTAATAAAAAGCATGAAGAAAATTAAAGTCAGCTGAGATAGGAAGTCCACAATGCCACCAAAGGAGGGAAAAAAATAGTGACACAATCCTGTTGCTATCATCTCATCAATGCTGCAATTTATATACTTGCATCACAGCTTGGAACGCAAGCACATAATGGGGACATTTGTGTAATGACATCTCTGTGTAGTCATTGTCACTTTAGCAGCTAGAACCATTTATCTGTGATTTATCGAGGTAAAAAATCTAAGCCAAGTCTCTAGCCAATCTTGGGTGCTAAAATACATTGACAATTGGTTATAGAAGGTAGACCTCTTTCTTATATTTTCTGCATGAATTCTCATTTGAATATGTGTAGATTTCAGTTTTATCAACAACAGTGCAGTATATTTCTTCAATGTCTTGCACTCTACCTCTGTGGCTGAAAAAAATGTGAATCCAGATAACCTGTATTTTAGTTTAATATTAAGCCATCACATTAGATCTAATAATATTGTTTTTCCAGTTTTGTTATGCATATTACCAAAATAATTAGTTTTCCTTCTTCTCTTTATAGTCCGAAAGCCTTCAAATCAACCCACTGTACACCCTGATCCCTGTCACCATGTGCATCTCTTTTGCGGTAATGCTACCAGTGGGCAACCCTCCAAATGCCATTGTCTTCACTTATGGACACTGTCAAATCAAAGATATGGTATGTACTAAGCATCCACAATTTAACAAGTAAATTTCAAAAACAACTAAACACTTCAACAAATGTAATGCAATAACAATAGATTTACATTATTTGTAATGTACAAATTGCAGTTTCCACAACTGCTATTATTACTACCATTATTACCATCTCCAACTTTCAAAGAATGGTGTCAAAAATGCTATAAAGGAAAAAAGTAGTTGAGGAAAAATATTGAGTAGAATTAAGAAAATCTCAGACATAAAATATAGATTAGTGTTTCTCAACTTTGGCAACTTTAAGATGGTATGTGTCCATCCATCTTTAAAATGTCAGGGTTGAGAAACACTGACATAGATAGATCTAGGATTATTTCAAGCCAGTTACTGCCTTGTTGACTGTAGTTTGGCAAAGTGAAAATGAGGACACATAAGGAAATAGAAGGAAATGAATTAATCCAATTAAGTAGCTGATCTAAATGCTCCCTGGATTTGGTCTATTAAAAAAAATGCCAGAAGCTATCCAGACCTGATGTGCTTGAACTGCAAAGCCTTGTTCAAATTGATACTCGTTATTGTTTTTCTTTTTATTTGTAGATCAAAGCTGGCTTTGGCGTCAATATCATTGGACTAGTGATTGTTACATTGGCCATAAATACTTGGGGAATTAGACTCTTCCAACTGGACATATTTCCTGATTGGGCCCAAACCAGTAATAACATTACTGTCCCATCATAAACAACATTGGCAAAATTTGTCAAATCTCAGAAAGTGGACAAATATCATTGTACATATATATTAAACAAGGAGACTCGACTATATATTATATCAGGAACGGGAATAAAATAAGAGGTAACGTAATTGAGGTTCTCCCAAATATTACATCTACCAGCTAGCATTTTTATTTTCAACTGTTAAATAAACACTGAAACACTAAAAAAAAAATTTTTTTTCATTTTTATTTGATGGGATGTATGTAACTCATGGTACTCTACTGTAAATTTAAAGATTAAGTCTTAACTTTGTAAATGTTTGTGCAGAAAGCTGTATATAGAAGCTACTTTATAAGGATCCTTATAAAGGATCCTTAACATTATTTTGATGATCTCAGTGGAACTGTGGGCTCTATTCATATTCATAACATAAAGCCATTCTATACATACAATCCCTTGAGTCTCTAAAAATTTCTTTTTAAATGTTTAAATTGGATGTTCTACTGTTCAGTAAATGCTGTCTTGCTCATTTTGCTTTTCTATTGTTCCCTCTCCATCTCTCTCCCTCATTTATTTTCTTTTGCTAATTTTGATTAAGAAAGCCAGTTTGGTGTAGTGATTAAGGCATCAGCATATAAAACCAGGAGACTGTGAGTTCTAATCTTACCTTATGTACAAATCCAGCTTGGTGCCTTAGGCCATTTATTCCTTCTGAGTCTTAGGAAGCAAGTAATGGTAAACCATTTCCAAAATCTGGCCAAGAAAATTGCATTGACTTGTCCAGGCAATTGCTAGTAATCAAGACTGACTTGAAAGCACAAAAAAATGTTCAACATAATATCCTACTTGAAGAAAACCCCACAAAAAGTGCTAGATAGATGTTCTTCTGTTTGGTGGAGTGTTTTGTATTGCACTATTATCATTATCAAACACAATTAAACATTTCATAAAATAGACTAACTCATTTTAATGATTATTTTTTTTCTCTTACTGAAAAAAATTTGCTTGGTTCCTAATTCAATCCATATAGAGGTTTCCCGAATTACTTTTGCAATGATAAGCCTGCTTCCTGCAATTTAAAACGGCAATTTAAGGGAAAAAATTGGAATCTTTCCTGTGCTGAAATATGCCACTGATAAGTGTAAGAAGGATTTTAAAAGCATCTGCATTTATTGTTAGCTGTAAATACAAGCACTTAAGCTACTTAATCCTCATTTAGCTCTGAGCAATAGCTTGAAGAGAAGGAGGCATTGTTAGCACTGGCCTCAGCTAAAAATTCTAGAATAACTTTCAGAGAAATCCCAATAAAAGCAGATGCCCTGCAGCTTTACCTTTCCATGAAATTCTGCATACAGTTTAGCACAAGAACAGGGGAAACTACTGTGCAGAAAATGATGTCCCATGAAGAAACCTTTCAGGATAATAAGACCTAAGAAAGAGTGTGGTTGCCTCATGGAAACCTTTTTGCTGAAAGCATTGCTTTTACTTGCTGGAATTGCAGACTATAGGCAAGATTCACACAAATATGCCAGTGTGACTTTGCTGAGTTCTGGAAGGATCAGGCATGTTCCCTTAAAATGATCCTGTGACGCGACTGCTTGAATTCCTACAGATTTATTCTGTACTAAGTGCCTTTACAATAGACTTATTATTTTCATAATGCTTATGTATTCTCATCCTATTACTGATGATACATAACCTGTAATAATTATATCCTGATTACCTTTTGTATGTTTTTTTCCATTAAGAAAAGCAATAACCATCTTTTGTTCCCATTGCAAATGCTTTTGCTGCAGAAATTGCTTGATAATAAAGCCAAGTCTAAAAACTGTTAATATTCTTGTGGTGTGTAGAAATTGTAGAGGGGATGTCCAAACACATTTCCCCTTTTCTCTTTTTGTCTTCTTGTTTTTAATGTAGGCCTGCTCATCCTACAGGGAACAGAATGGCAAAAGGCTTTTTCTCTAGTCTGGAGATATGAGAGTGACTTGGTTACAACATCTGTTGCCCTTCTGACTGATGGGTTTAATTTGGCTAGCTAAGCAAATGTCCTCTTACGCTTCTAGGTGTTTCCACCAGAAGGAGGACAATCTCCATAGAAGTGGGAAAAACACCTATAAATAAACAAATGTTCTGCTTTTATTTTGCCCTATAAAGGTACAAAACTCATGTGAGAAACCTTTGTCCAGATCAAAACATCCATTTTGCCCTTAAAAATAAATTTTCTCCCACCATAAAAAAAAAGAAAAGGATAGGATTTTTCAACTCTTTCTAGTGATGTTGCCTTGCCATCAGACAACTCTCCTGCAACCTTCAAAGGTGAAATCAGTAATTATAAAAAATGTCCTACCCCCCCCCAAAAAAAGTTGATAGCCATCTGTGCTTTTCTGATAGAACCTTCAGTGTGGACTTCAGTGGCTTCTGCTGAATAATAGCTATTATTTATTATATTAATTAAATTTATATCAATGTCTTCCAGGTATAGAACTGATGAGCTCACTGAAACTCACAAAAGTATATATTTCACTCTTTACTGAAGTAGCACCTGAGCTAGTATCTGTAATGGCTTCTCACACAGCTCCAACAACATGACCATCTTCTGCATTGATTGGAATATTGGCCAAATGTTGCCAAGATGCACATTCAGATCCACATCATTTCTTTAGATCAGGGGTTCCCATACCCCGGTCTGTGGACTGGTACCGGTCCATGGCATGCCAGCAACCAGTCCACGCAAACAAGCCCCATCTGTGGGATGCAGGAAGCACACAAAACCACACATTCTGCAGTCCGTGAAAAAACTTTCTCCATGGAACCAGTCCCTGGTGCCCAAAAGGTTGGGGATCTCTGCTTTAGATGAATTGTGCAAGCCCCTAGTTTTCAAGATCATTTCTGGTAAGGATTAGGTTATTTGAAAGAAATGGAGGAACAGACAACAAATAAATCTGTATCACACAGAACAGAGCATAGCTAGATATAACATAGGATCCATTCTTTCTTCAGTTACACTCTCTCCAATTACACTTTTGTCCTATGTACAAGTGAATTTGTCAAACTTTGCCCATGCTTACACCTTGGCTTTGATTTACTTGATATGGGAAAGAACTTGAAAAAATCATGAGCAAATGGCTCCCATCAAACCTAATTAATGAATTAAACTAAAATGTATGTGTGTTGTTGGACTGTAGTTTCCCCAACATTTTCTAATATGAAAAGGCTCTTCATTCTCTAATAATAAGAAATTTTAAAAAATAAAATGTTAACCTTACTGAAGACCTGAATGTAGGCAAACAATATCACTAATATCTTTGTGTCCTATTTAAAATTCCCTTGGCTATATATAAAAATGGGATAGGGCTGAGAAAAGTAATATTACTGGTAAAATTATTATCGCCTGTCCTTTATCCTACAATGAGAACTAATCAGAGTAATAACAATAGTTAAATGACAGCAACAAACTGCTAAACTGAGTGATATGGAAGCCAGTGGTGTATCTAAATTTCAATGGAAATTCTCAGTCATCCAAGTCATGGTTGTGCCAAAGGTGCTTTTTCAGGAGGCAACTGGACTTTCTTGTTTTTCTTTGAAGACATTTAGCTTCTCATTCAAGAAGCTTCATCGGTTCTGATTGGATGGTGGGGAATCATTTTGTGATGTATCATTTTCAACACATGTATTCAATATAAACTTGGTTAGTGTTTCCTTTATCATAAATTGAAATAATGATGCATGGACCCAACCAATTTAACAAAATATAATTAAGCAGAACATTATTCATTATATTATGTAAACCCAGCCATAATACACAGCAATAATAGGGAAGAAAAAATAAATACCCTATTGTTATTAAAATGAGTGATTGGAAAGAAATGAGTTACATAATGGAAACAATTTGCAAACAAAAAGGAACAAAATAAAACTTTATTGTGTAATTAGGACACTTAATTTGATTATTGAAAAATTATACGGATACCAGTTTAAGTAATTTTCCAGATTAAAATTTGGTACACAAGTCTAGCAACAGATGCCAACATTTGTGTCTAAGTATATTAACTCTTATAAGAAAAATCTTTCTTTTTTTTGCTATTAGAAGGACTGTCAATACATAAAACATTTGATTGTTTTATGGCATGTGAATATAAAATTATTTGATGTGATCAATTGATGTTCAACTCCTTTGATAGCACGAATACTTGCCACTTTGTCCTTTCTCCAGTGAAATTTCTGTTTTACATAGCAGTAATTTTAATCCATGTTACTTGTTGCCTTCTCTTTCTTCCTCTTCCCTCAACATTCCTAAACATATTTATCTTCTTGAATTACTGCCCAAAATATGTGAGTTTTCTAGTTCCAGACAATCACATCAAATGAACAATAAGTCTGCATATAGTCCAGAACAGCTGAATCCTTGTTCCTTAATTCTTATCTTCAAATTCATAATTCAAAGACACGCTAAGACACCAACATTATGGTTTAACACGTGTGAAATTAATCAACTGTTACTCTAAATTGAATTCTTTAATTCCATAAACTATATATATATTTACATAGTTTGCATATACTTATTCCTGGACAGATAGATAGTCAGCTAGATATAAAATGTGCATCAGGGTTACTTCCTTGCATGAGACAAGGATTTCTGTTTATCTACTTCAGTGTTTCACAACCTCACATAGTGGGGTGGGAAATTCTGGGAGTTGAAGTCCACATGTCTTAAAGTTGTTGAGGTTGAAAAACATTGATCTACTTCATCTTTTCTTACAATATAATCTGTGTACAATTCACAAAGTATACTGATGAATAATGCACTAATTTATTAAAATATTTCATGTACAACCCATACTTTTATTCTAAAACTGCTAGTACTCAGGTCTGTTGTATCCCTTCCATAAGTTACACTGCAAAACTGTCCTAGAAACTGTGTGTGCTAAGTGGGATTGAAAGAATGTAATTCAAAGAAAAACTGGCAACTCTCAGTGGAAGTGAATAACCAGCTTTTATTTTGTACCATCATATGTACTGTTTAAACCTTCATATTTTGCAGACATGAGAAAGAATTTTTGTAATTCTTCAAAATACCATTTGTAATTTTCAGAAGATGGCCAATATCGTAAAGACAAACTCTGCAGACCATGACATAAGGCAATAGCTCCATTGATTTAATGGTAACCAATATGCAATCGAGAGGGGGAAAAATGCTGCTTCATGTAAAATTAGCTTTGATCTCTCAAAGCTAATCCTCTTCCTTTCTGAAAATTTGCATTAATTGGGATAATAGTCCAATTTTCCCTCTACCCATATAGACAAGATTCTGAAAGAGAGAAAGAAAGAAAATTCTAATAAAATTAGATCGGTGGGGAAATCAAGCAATTTTACCCAAACACTTCATATTCTGTAGAAAAAACAATTGATAACAATGCCCTAACACTGCATCTATGTATGATGGTCAAGGTCTGAAAAATGATAATACAAAAAGAATCTATTGCAATTCTAAAAGTCACATCAAGTTTAACATGATGAATATAATTCCAAATAGAGAACTAAAAGTCAAGTCAATGGGAAAAGGTTCTCAATGACATCACTGTGAATTGGACACCCTTTAAAAGCTGAAATTTATCACAATAGTTTAGTATTTATTTATTGTTACAATATACACATTTTTGAATGCACATGGTAATCCATAAAGCTGTACTCAACAGAGTATACGAGCATTGTTACAACCCCAAGTCTATGAGTATCAAAACTTGCTATTTAACAAATGAAGAAAACAATAAATGCAAGTAATTCTCATATAAATATACAGGTAATCCATTTAGCATGTGACACAAAACTAGAATTCTAGGTTCCAAGTTAACCTGTCCAAAAGCATATTATCTAGTCCATTATTAAACCTTAGGAAGCCAAAACTTAAATTTTAATATTTGTGGTAAGGAAGGGTTTCAGTAGAGAAGTAGGTATAAATTTGGGATAGTTTTTAAATTCATATTGCCATTTTTCAGCAGTTCCATTAACAAAATTTAATAGAGTGATCAATCAGAATAGGGTACAAAAATGTTTGGGGGAGAGAGGGCTACAATAGGCATGCTTGCTCCTGCACTATCAGCAATGATCATCCAGCCTCTTCTTAAATATTATGAAGGATCAGGTTTCTTACCATCTTTAAACTGATGCATCTTTCTTTGTTTCAAGAAAGGGCTACAACAGATACAAGACAGGAAAAATACAAGCCAGTAACTTTGCATAGTTTGATTCATGTTTTCATCATCAAAATGCAAGTGCAGGACTACATCAATTCCTAGTTATACCAGAATGGTTACCCCTTAGAAATATTATAAACTGAAGTACCAACTAAGAATTGGAAGATGAGTATATTGTTGATACATTGGAACAATTCATTTAAGTTGTTCAAATTTTAATTTTTTTAATTTTTACAAACAATGGATAAAGCATATTGGGTATCATACCTCTATAAACTGCTCAATGTTTGACATTTAATTCATGCTGACTATACATGTTGCAGGAATGCCCAACAATCAAATAGAAACATCATATTTCAGCAACAAGATGGGCATTTTATAAGACGTTTAGCGTTTTATAAATAGATACCAATATTTGTAGAGTTATATTTTTTAGATTGGAATAATTAATGGCATATCTTCATTCTGTTCCTGACTCTTGTTATTACTAAATGTAAAGTATTCCTGAAGCAATAAATTGAGAACAAAAGTCCAGTTTGTATATATACTGTATGGGATATTTTTTTCTTTGGAAAAAAGTCAAGTGCAAGGAGGCCACATGGATATAGTAACACTAAGTCTGAATGCTTTTTAAGGCCTTCAGAGATCAGGCAGGGGAGCATTCATTAAAGCCAATAAAGGTTTGACACCTAAGGCTGGATGGTTAAAATACACCATCTATGTTGAAAAGTAGGATGCCTATATCAGCATCATTTATCACTCGGAGGCTTCTTCTTAGCTTCTACATCTCTCTTGATGTCTTCAATCTTCTTTGCAATGTTTGGAACCTATAAACATATAAAGGAATATAAGAACCACTGCAATTTGGAGAATCAATTCAAGGTAATCTCTGGATCCATGATATGTACAGGAATGTCTCTTCTTCTACACTCTAGTACGCACCATACTCTAGTGCAGGGGTCCTCAATCTTAGCAACTTTAAGACTTGTGGACTTCAACTCCTAGACTTCCTCAGCCAGTCTGGGAGTTGAAATCCACAAGTCTTAAAGTTGCCAAGGTTGAGGACCCCTGCTCTAGTGTCTTTTCAAGACTGACCAAAGATTGATTTATTTAATTTCTGCATTTCAAGCTTTATTGTTGGAATTAGTAACAGTGGAAAAACAGGCAAACTTTGGTGCCTTCTGAGACAAAGAAAACACTAGCATTCCAAAACTTATAATGCAGGTTTCAATGGAAAAGTGTCAAAATATATCACAAATATTTCATACATATAAATAAGAGCAGGTTAATGTGGAAACAGAATGAAATGAAGGAATGGAAAAAGGAATGTAAAATTGATCTGGACTCTCCTTATTACACAAATCAAAAGCTGGTGGACTGTGGTTACATACAAAAATAGGAAATCAATAGCCTTTCAGATACTGCAAGTCAACAACTCTCATCATCTTTGACACTTTTGACTACTGCATTCTAGAAAAAAATGGGAACTGGAGTTCAGACTCATCTGATGTTTGATAGGCTCTGCAATCCTCACAAATTCCAATTCTTAATATAATTTCGAAAGCAGCAAAAATACTTACATCATAGTTCTGGGCCAAATACATTCCAACTACATTGCCAACTGCAAAACCGAGCTGGAGAAAGAACAAAAAGGATAACATTGAGGATTTTACTTCCCTCACTCACCACACATGAAATGCAATTTAGAAATGCAATTAGTTTTCCATTCTATCTTTTAAAACACATGTTTTGCCAATTTCAGGCCAAAACCTGACTTTCATTAAAGTGTTTATCATGTTTTTAGCTAATGTTTTTCCAAACGGTTTGTACCATTTGGCTGAATTCCATGTAAGCCACATACAAATAATTCCTTTATTCACCATTTGCAATTTAAACACTGGAGTTGTGCAAACAGACAGGCCAGGATTTGGGAAGACCTCAAATAACATATTCCTAGTAGCAAGTATGAGAGAAAAAGATAGGGTAGGGCAGAGTTCCCCAATCTTTCCGGGTTGGTGACCCAGAGGGGAAGGGATAAGGGAGAAAAAGGGGATGGTTTTGTGGGAAGGGCAGGTAAGTGCATGTGCACAAATACCTGTTACTCGTGCGAGTGAGGCCCTGAGTGGTCTTGCGAGAGAGAGCCCTCATGAGTGGGACCGCAAGCCCCAAGCGCCTGAGACGCTCGCGTGCATGAACCAGCCACTCACATGGCCCGGTTGTGAATAGGCCATGGACCAGTAGTGCGGCCCAGAGGTTGGGGGCCCCTGGGGTAGGGGATCTTCCTTTTTCACTGGCATAATTGCCACTTATTTAGCTGCCAACATTTTCTCATGGCTGTTTCTACTTCTCTACTGTGAAATAATATCAAGATGACAAACCATGGAGGGATGTGGTAAGTGGGTAACTTTTTTGTGGCTAGAACATATACTCCTTTTAAAACAGTGTCCTCAACCTTTGTGGCTTGGTGGCCCACCTGAGGGGGAAGAGGGGAACTGGACCACACAAGCAGTGGACCTTGATTTTGCCACCCTCCTCCCAAAATACTGCTATGTGAAGAGAAGCATGCAGCTGGGTACCTCAAGGTTTTGTCTTGGGCCCAGTGCTCTTCAGCATAGATGACTTCACAAATGACTGAAGTGGCACTCATCAAATTTGCAGATGATAGCAAATTGGGGGGGGGGGGAATTGCTAATACTTTGTAAGAGAGACTCAAGTTCCAGAAGGATCTTGACAGACTTGAGCATTCGGCCTTATCCAAAAGATGATGTTCAGTTATAAGAAAGTAAGATCTGCACATAGGCAGGATAAACCAAATGGACAGGTATAGAATAGGTGGTACCTGGCTCAACAGTAGTATCTGTGAGAGGGATCTAAGTGTCCTAGTGGGACACCATAGGGGATTGGACTAGAAGACCTCCATGGTCCTTTCCAACCCTATGATTCCATGATGAAGAGGGCATTAGAATGATGTCACCTATACATCAATTGCTTCCAAAGTATGTACATTCCTGATACCTACTGGGCCATTCTGATTGGAGCAGTATATAAACCCTAGCAAATTAATACATATGTAATTAAGTCTCTAGATGAAAAAATAATAATCACAAGAATTATATCAAAGGAAACAGAGCAAAAGTTTCATTAAGCACCTTCATGGGCATTTCAAAGATGCCTACATGAAAAACCAAATGGAGAAGTAGTCAGACTAACAGATTAAATGTTGGTGAATGACTATCCATACTAAACTCCGAGTCACATTAAAAAAAAAACTTCGCTTAACTCCATAGCTCCATAGTGCAGTCCAGTACTATGTACTGCTGTCAATTTGTGGTGGCTTATTCCTGTGCATACAGATTTATCCAATTTTATTCATCTACTTTCCAAAAACAAGATTTTTGGACTAATTTAAATGCGTACTTCTTAAATGGTTTCCATCTGGGTAACGAAGTCTTCAAATACCATAACACTGAAAGAGTAATGAAATATTATTTTAACATTCCAATGCCTGGAGGTTAATTGCTTTTAGCACTTGAGAATCTCTGCTTCAGCCATGAATGAACTGCAGGTTTTACTGACAAGAATAGAAAGAGCTATTAAAAATACGAGCAATAAAATTATGATTGTTTCCAAAAGTCTGCCATTGTAAGTCATTAACAACTCACTTCCTATACAATATAATAGATGCAGTGTTCAAAAAAAGAGAAGAACCCCATTTAAAATAATGTACAATATAATATTAATTTTCATAACCTCATCTGGAGAAGCAGTAACCCCAATTTTTTATTCTTCATTTAATTTAACTTTCCCCAATAATATGCCCTTTAGACATGCTGGACTACAACTCCTATGACTGTAGCTGGTTCCAGGATAGGGAAAGCTATTTTGAAGCCTATGTTTGCTTTACTTTCTTGGAAATGGGAAAGATTTAGAAATCACCATTTTCTCCCCAAGCACTTGAAGTCCAATCTAATTTGCCTAGCTGTGTGCTTGCTATGACAGTAAAATATTGACCTAACAAACCCATTTAACAGACCTCTGCAATGGACAATTTTTTTTCATCTAGACATCTTCTTGAAATAATAGAACAGTTCATTGTATCTGAATTAATTTGGGCAGGGTAGTTACATTTATGGTAATCTTACCTTAATTTTACAACAATTTGTATTTGTATGACTCCCCAAGGATTATTTGTTTAAAATATCTTTGAACATGATCATTTATGAAGCAAAATAATTGGGCTCTAAGTCACCCACATAATATAGAAAACTACCTGTAGGGCATATAACATATAATATTTAAATATAAGAAGCTATATGAAAGATACAGAGGGCATGAAAGACTGCTGGGTCAGGGATCCCCAATCCCCCAGGGCTACAGCCCACTACCAGCTGTGGTACGTTCAGAACTAGGAGGAATGAGTGGCTAGTTGGCACATGCATGCACACAGCTCAACTTGCATGAGTGGTGGGCCAGCATGCATGCACGCAGCTCGATTTGTACAACCGGTGAGCCAACATGCACACGCACAGCTCAACTAGCTCATGCAGGTTGGTTCTCCCCCTCCCCCGGCCAAACCGTAAAGGTTGGGGACTGTGCTAGTTGACTGGGCCCATCTCTCTCTCTCTCAGCCCAACCTTTATCACAGGTTTGTTATTGTGGGGCAAGAGGAGGAGGAAGGAGTATTAGGCATGTTTGCTGCATTGAGTTACTTATTAGGATTATAAAGGAAGAATAAAAATAATACACACACACACTTCTCTGCTAAAGCATTACTTACTATGCTAATGAAACTTAAGTTTCCAGAAACTTGAGAACTCTTTATTCCCCAATCACCTATTCCTGTGGTAGCGAACCTATGGCATGCGTGCCACAGATGGCATGCAGAGCCCTCTCTGTGGGCACATGCGCCATTGCCCCAGTCCTAGGCCTTCAGCTGGGTTTTATAAAACCTTTTTGCTTTAGGCCTCCGCCGCTATGTGCAAAAAAAAAGAAGGTTCAATCAATCAATTTCTTGCGGGAAAAAAAAAGTTGGAATTGATTGACTGAACTTTTTAGTCCCACCCAGTCTTCTGTTACCACCACAGCCACACCCACCCAATGGGACACGCCCACCCGGCACCTGATGATACATAAGTGGGTTTTCGGTTGCAGTGTGGGCACTCGGTCTCTAAAAGGTTCGCCATCACTGACCTATTCCAAAGACTGACTACGGAAGCTCCCAGGAAACTCCACCACTGAGCAAGGATCCCAATGATGCAGTAATTCCATTCATGTGCTGATACAACCCTACTGAGGAAGGCAATATCCACAAGACTGACTTGTGGAAATATTCATAGTAATCAGAACGTCCTAGCAGAATCTCAGGGAATCAGGTAAATTTCTGAATAAGAATCACCATCTTTTTCCAGCCAGAGAGGGGGGAAAGATACACTCTGAATAATTCATAAACTAATTAAATGAGAAACATTTTTCTGCCTTTTTTGTTTTGGACATGCAAAGAACATGCAAACCCAGAGATTTACAGTAGCAGCATCTTCTTTTAATTCTGAAAAATCATGCTTGATTCTGAGATTTCTCATCTTTCTCTCTGAACCCCAACATGGACCATTTATCATCATCATCATCAATCCTCATCCTCGCCCTCCTCATCATATGTAACATGCTATTGTTTTCAGGATGGATACTGAAATGTTTACTTTTCTAGAGATAAGTATTTTACTTCTCCAATAAAAACCAGTTTGTTCCTCTTACAGCAAACTTGGCTCTCTCGCTGAAAGTATAAAATACACCCTGAAATTGTTCCATCAAGTGGTGGATGGAAAACCTGACTGCACTCGTATTTTTTTGACATGCTTTCTGGAATTTTGCAGTGGGATCAGTTCTTACACAAAAATGCAAGACAAACCTCAGAATTCCATATGAGCCTTCTATTTAATTGGCTTTGATAAAGGAAACACACAGTCTTATATCCATCATACTCTGACTTTGTCTCTGATCTGTATTCCCACTTCCTATGTATTTCTATTATTCTGCCACATGATTTCACACTCCCCCTTTCTCTTAATTTATCATGAAATAGTTCAGCTTCTTTCAGCTCCTCAAAGTTTGTCCCAGTTTGGCTGGCTTCTTGGGAATGGAAAGACAAACTATACTCAATGCTAATATTCCAGAACTAGCTGAGAAATTTGATTATGGACAAACATCTTCATAAAATTAGAAGCACTGATGACAAGAGAATAACAGAGTTGGAAGGGACCTTGGAGGTCTTCTAGTCTAACCCTCTGCCCAAGCAGAAGACTCTATACCATTTGAACAAGTTGTTGTCCAATCTCTTCTTAAAAAAATATAAAAATAAAATGCTCTACCCCCACATTTTCCAACATGGGTATCTTCCAGATGAATGAAATTAAATTTTGAGAATTCTTAGCCATGACCAGGCTGGCTGAAGAATTCTGGGAACTGAAGTTCACACATCTAGACTTTGCCCCAGGAGAATTGCAGTAAAACTGGCTTTGTGTATTCTAATTCAAATTGTATTTTGATGTGGATTTTATGCCCAATTCATATCTTATGTACATATTATTAAAAATAAATTCAGCAAAATTATATAGTACGGTATTTCAAAAGTTAATCTTAATTATAACATCCCCAGGGGAATAGAAAAAAGAAATATTAG